GTGGATTGTAGGGTTAATACCATTAAGATTAAAGTAAATCTATTTATGGGACTATGTATACACATATGCATATTTGTATTGGTATAGAAGTCTAGAAGGGCACTTACAATATGTAGCCATACAGTGTCCTTAAACCAGTTGCCAGAGTCAACTCTGACTCATGGTTATGCTGTATGTGTCAGAGTAGAACTATGCTCCATAGAGATTTCAGTGGCTGATTTTTCATTAATAGCTCACTAGGCCTCTCTTCTAAGGCACTTCTGGATGGATTTGAATCACCAAACCTTCATTAGCAGCCGATCATGTTAACTGCTTACATCACCCAGGGATGCCGGAGTCCTTACAAACCCATAGATGATGTGGTTCCCATTCTCTCTGATTTAATCGCATTCCACTTTCCTCCTTATTCACACATTTCCCGCTGCACAGGCCAACTTGCTGCTCTTTGAACTTACCAAACTTTCTTCTACTTCAGTATTTTACATTTGATGTTTTCCTTTGCCTAGAACACCCTGAATATCCCCCAGATACCACAAAGCTCATTTTCTCACTTCCTCCAGACTTTTGCTGAAATGTCATTTTATCCCTAAGGCCTTCCCTGACTACCTAATGTCCTTTACACTGCTTTATTGTTCACTAAAGCACTTTTCAGTATCTTATTTTTCTCTTCCCTCCACTAGAACGTAAACTGCATAAGGGCAAAGACTTGGCCAGTTTTATTCATTGCTTCATTCCCAATGCTGGGAACACAGTGCACACTTAGTATTTGTTGAATGAATAAATGAACGGTAACATACACTATTTCCTGTGGAGTATGAGAGGGATTTTCACTTTTTACTGTATACTCCCACATATATTTTAGATATATTTTCAGCAACAGCTGTATCACTTTTGTATTTAATAAAATTAATCAGGTTTTAAAATCCCATGTCCAAAGTTGTCCATTATTTTACTGTTTGTTAAATAATTGTTTGAAAATAAGTCATAGCAGATATCAAATTGTTAAGAAAAATTTATGGAAGAAAAAGTTAACCTGAAAAAGCTTGTCATTTTCCTATGAGCTGGGAAAAAACATACATTGTTCTATTTTAGTAGAATGCCTGGGTCTACTTTGTGGCAAGTACACAGCAGCACAGTTCTGTTATGAATGAAGCCTAGGACCCAAGAGCAATCAGCAGTGCTCTATGTTGAGACAGGGTAAAGGTCATAGCTTGAACACTCTCAAAGTGTTGGGAATAACTGATCTATAAGTCAAGTGAAATTAGAAATTGGAGAACACTGCATTAAACACTAAACCAGTTCCTTTAAGGCAGAGATTCTTGGAGACTTTGTTAGTGCACATTACATTATCTCCAGAAGGGAGAGAACACATAGAGCTTCCCAAGCTCTTGTGACCACAGCATCCTTTTTCCCAGTTGCTGTAATGGCTGTAATGATAGGACACAGTTCAGGAAACACTGACTTCAAAAATTTCTGAAAGTAAAGGTTTTCCTTAAAAAGAGGACCATTTGACAGCCAGCTACCCAAAGGGAGCAAGTAGTTGGACCTGTGGGCTCAGGACCATGGTCGCAGGGGACATCAAGCTCAACTGATATTAACATACTACACAAAAACATTGTTCCACATCCTACTTTGTTGAGTAGTGACCGGGATCTTAAAAGCTTGCAAGTGGCCATCTAGGTGCAACAACGAGTCTTTGTCCAGAGCAAAGAAGAATGAAGAACACCAAAGATACATGGAAACAATTGGTCCAAGCAACTGGTACACATGCAATCTTCAACCTATATGACTATGAGACCAGAATAACTAGATGGTGCCCGGTTATTCCTGTCTACCACTAAAAAGGGGATTTATATAGGAGAGCCTGGATAGAGCAGAACAATGTGGAACAAAATTTAAAAATCGAAAAAAAAAGGGTGGGGTCAACTTTGCTGATCTGTTAAGAGCCTGGTGGAACCCCTGAGACTACGGTATGGCCCCAAGCTGCCCTTCAGTTCTGGCACTGAACCCACTCTTGTGGCTTCCAGCCAAACAAAAGACAGGCATATGAGCTGAACATTTACATCACGTAGATACACTCCTTGGAGAGAACAATCATGGGAGAATAGAAGGGCTGCATATGCACAGGTAAACAGCTCAGAGGGCAGGAGTGCATGGGAGGGAAGGGCACAGGCAAGAGGTGTTAACTATTGTGAGCAAGTGGGAGGTAGCTGTTGTATTGTGGGAAATTGCAGTCAACGTCATGAGACAAAGCGTGTGTGAGCTACTGTACGGAAAGTGAATGTGCTCCACAAACTTTCATCCAAATCACAGTAAAAAAAAAAAAAACAACGGGGGGGGCGTTTAGCGTTGTCAGAGTAGGTGCTGTAATGAACTATAGAATTGGTTGGAACCTGCTGGCTGAAGAGTAGACTTTGGCACCAAATTTTTGGCAACAGGATCTAGAAAGGAGAAAGATTCACTTACCTGTTAATACTGTTGCATTAAGTGCAAGACCCATTCCCGGAAATAAACATTTGCCTGAAACTTTCACTGGAGTTGGTTGGGGCCAATTTAAGAGAAGTCATTGCTAGCCCCTAGATTTCTTTGAGTAATAAGCAAAGCATAACTAAAATCAAGTGTGTTGAGGTTCAGAAGTCTCAGATCATTTCTAGAAGTTCCATAGGATCCACAGGGACTCTGAAGTAGAGACTTGGTGCAAAATTAACCTACTCTATCCAACTTGAGAACAGTCTAACTTCAAAGCAGAATTAAAATGTTGGCTCTTGGACAAGGGATATTCCCAGTGAATACTGATGCTACATTGTGACTTCAGTCCTCCCGTAAACCTGAAGGGTGACATATTTGAAAATACCTACGAGAGTTTAAATGCCCCATTCACAACCACCACTTGAAGCAATCATTAATAGTGGTTCACCTTTCTGTCTTTATGCATTCATATACATGGTCACCCCCCCCTTTAGCACTTTACACTCTTATCATTCCACACCAATTCCTGTCTCCTGCTGAACTAACATTACAATTTGACCACTCTTTGATCAGCAATTGGGTTATTTCCAATATTGTTATTTTAGAAACAGCATAGTATATGTTTTCAAATTGTTTTAAACACTTCATATGCAATCTTTCTACTCTTGAGAAATGCCATTTTTTACAGATGAGGGATTTGATGTACTAACAAGGTAAGTTAGTTACCCAGGTCAAAATTTAGTTAAGTGGTGGAGCTACGTTTGAACTCAGGATCGACTCCATAGCACACGTCTTGTAAATCTTATTATCCTGCAATATTTTCAGAGGATATATAATCTTTCAAATTGAATACTTTTGGTAAAATCCACCATTTTTTTCACTCCACTGATGATTGGTGAAAACTTGCTCTTGGACTGTTACCAGGCTACTGACCAGCATCAGGGCCCCAGTTTCCTGTATTCCAATTATCTTTTCACATCTTTGCACCCAAGCACAAATTTTCTTGCAGTAAACATCACAAGAGAAAGATTAATAGAAATCCGTCTAAGAAATTCCTAAGTAAAAAAGATTATTTGGGGAATTATAATTGGGGATGGTTAAATGGCAGCTTTCCACAAACCCTGGAACCTCAAGGCACATACATTATGTTGTAATTCAAGTTCTGACACATGGAATTTGCCTTTAGAAAAGAAACCAAAAAACCTATCTTGCGTGGATCCAACTCATAGCAACCCCTCCTTGGGTTTCCAAGGAGCTATCACTACAGAAATAGATTGCCTAACATTCCACAAGGAGTGGCTGGTAAGTTTGAACCCCTAGCCTTCTGGTTAGCATGCCTTAGGCACTATGGCACCAGAGCTCCTTTTAGGAGATAGCACAGGTACAAAATATAAGTGGCTCAAAATAATAGGAAAATTGAGCCACATATACTTTGGACATCTAGCAAGTCACAAAGGTCCCACAAACCTCTGGTGCTACATGTGACACTGCATCTGAAGGTTGCAAAGGGAAGGGTCCAGGAGGCATTTCCTTATAAAAAAGGGTAATGTTTTTTTCTTCCTTTCCATTTGGCATATGGGTAACATTGCAACTGAGAGCTACATCCTTGGCTGGGAAAATAAATTGAATAGGTCATCATTCCAAAGTGAAGCTCCACTTTTCCACCAGTCCATTGCTAGCCCATCATCAGCAATCAGAGGTAGAGGTAGGGCCACAAACTACAAATGATCTCTATTTTGTTTTGAAGCCAGAGAAACAAACCCATTTTAAAATGTCTTGCAAATCACATTTGCTAATATACAGGAATACCTTACAGAATTCCTGAAGGAAAAAAAAAACACATCCCAAGAGAATAGACAGCAACAGCTACAACTTTTTCCCTCAAAGCGTTCATGTAACTACATACCTGTGAAATTTACAGGAAATACAGAAAAACTAACCCAATTACCTCCTAGTACCTATTTGGGTAAATTTTTTTTCCCCAAGCATAAAGGAAAATGTGGGGAATCTATGAGACCCAACTCTTAACGGTGAAATGCATCCCCTATAATCTAAAGAACACTTCTTTGGCTTTCCTTATTACCTGTTTAAGGGTTGTCTGTTTTTTTCCTTCTCTCCCTTTTTAGTTCGTTTATTACCAATCCAAGGTGTTTAAACACCGATTCACTGTGCAACAGTTTGAAATTAAGTGGTATCACCCCTGCTTAACGTACCAAATGTAACTTTTCCAACTTAGTTTATGCATAAATAACTATTAAAGTGGATGTCTAAGAAGTTTAACCACTTTCAAGTACACCTGGAGTATTAAATACTTCTGGACACAACTCTAGTCTCTCTACATTTCTATTATTACACACCCCTGGGATATTCTTACAGCCTAAAGGAAAAAATTAAAATGATCAGTAATTGAGACTTTTTTTAAAAAAATTTCTCTTTGTATCAAGTCAGTTTTATAGTTCAAGGAAAATTATTTTCTTACCAGTCAAGGTACCCACATCATTACAAAACTTCATTAACAACAGACACCAATCATGCTACCATGCAACAAAACCTTTATTAACATTTTTAACAGGTTCAGCTATTACTGAAACCGGCAATTTCTAAACTTAAATGGGGCAAATGGCTATAGTGCAGAGTAATGCCATCTTGGGCACTGTGAATACAAGGTTAAAAGAATTAACAGCCACCCCTCAGGCGAAGAACAAGGTGCAGGGTTGACTCTTTCTGGATGTTGTAGTCAGAAAGAGTACGGCCATCTTCCAGCTGCTTGCCTGCAAAGATGAGCCTCTGTTGGTCAGGAGGAATACCTTCTTTATCCTGGATCTTGGCCTTCACATTCTCGATGGTATCACTGGGCTCCACCTCCAGGGTGATGGTCTTGCCAGTCAGGGTCTTCACAAAGATCTGCATACCACCCCTCAGACGAAGGACAAGGTGCAGGGTTGACTCTTTCTGGATATTGTAGTCAGAAAGAGTGCGGCCATCTTCCAGCTGCTTGCCTGCAAAGATGAGCCTCTGTTGGTCAGGAGGAATACCTTCTTTATCCTGGATCTTGGCCTTCACATTCTCGATGGTATCACTGGGCTCCACCTCCAGGGTGATGGTCTTGCCAGTCAGGGTCTTCACAAAGATCTGCATACCACCCCTCAGACGAAGGACAAGGTGCAGGGTCGACTCTTTCTGGATATTGTAGTCAGAAAGAGTGCGGCCATCTTCCAACTGCTTGCCTGCAAAGATGAGCCTCTGCTGGTCAGGGGGAATGCCTTCTTTATCTTGGATCTTAGCCTTCACATTCTCGATGGTATCACTGGGCTCCACCTCCAGGGTGATGGTCTTGCCTGTTAGGGTCTTTACGAAGATCTGCATCTTGACCTAGAATTTAAAGGCGAGAATTAAACGTACTGTCTCAGAATCTTCACATTTCTTACTTTCACATTTAGTCAGTTCCTTAAAACCAACAAATAACCCTACACTCCCTCAAGTAAGAAGGTATGTTAATAACTCCCACAAACCGCCACCGCGTTTTACCAGTCTAAGCTTTAGTCAGTCACGATATACAAAACTTGTTCAAGATTTAGTTTTATTTATATAAAAGGTTCACCTAAATCCTAAAAACTTTCTTACATAACTTTACTGATTCTTGATTAAATATCCCCCTCCACTAATTTCCTCTACGATCAAGTTGGTGAAATAGTACATAAACGAAAAAAATATCCATAGACGACCCAGTAAGAACGAAATTCCCGTTCAAGCGAGTAATGGGAAACACCTTCCGCACGTTGAGGATCAAAATAAAGGTCCCCAGAAGCCGCACTTAACTACCTCTTTTCCTCCTTCCCCCGCGGAAACAGACCCGATTCCATCGGTTAAACGTCCGTTAGTAACCACTGCGCGCGCGCTGGCAACGCCAGCTCTACACACGTAAACAAGGCCCGCTCTTCCGGCAAAGCCCCGCGCCGCGTCACTTCGCCTTCCCCTCCCCCCCCACTCTTCACCGAGCCCACAAAACCGCCAAAAAATCTACCTGTTGGGGCTCAATTAAATCATCTCCTCAGCTTTTGAAGGATGCCTAACTGTACCTGTTAACGAAGTGGGAAATATGAAGCACGCCTAGGACGCCGCTAAACCACACCAGGTATTCTTGCCTTCCAGTCGCCTCTGACCGCGCCGGGTAGGTGGAGCTGAAATTTATATAACGTCTATTGCGGTACTCACCACTTCTTACGTAGCTGAGTCTCCGTGCGCCGCTGCAAGTAGTTCGCATGGCGCCACCTCCTGCGACGCACTTACGTTCTTCAATTAAACACCAAATTTATTTGGTACGGCTGAAGGAATCGTAAGAAATACAGGCCCCTCCCCTCGAGGCGATCTTTTCTTCTTTTTAGGAAAAAGTAAAACAATTAAGAGGCGGATGAATTCCAGTCACAAGGTCCTTCCTCGAAAGCTCTGGAAATTTCCTTGCGTCACTGGCGCTGATTGGCTAAGCTTATGATGACGATGCCGGCGCTGATTGGTGGAGACGAGGCGGCTCGGTTGTTGCTGGGCTCTGGGCAGGGCTGGGTTAGCAAGATGTTGCTAAGTACCTGCGTGCGCGGGCGCCACAGAGGCGCGCCTTTTCGAAGGGGTGGGTTTTTTGACTATCCTGTTGGGTCGTGTAGGTTCCTGGCTCCAAATCCCCAAGCCATCAAAGCTCATATTTCCGAGACTTGGTCTAGGAAGGTGAAGTTCGCGCTGCGAGTTTCTGAGGGCAGCCCGTCCTGGCCTGGGTTTGTGTAATTTGGGTGATCATGAGCGAGGCTGCCCGACTCGCAGCTGTTTTGCACCGTGCCTGCTTTAACAGTCTCCCACATCCTTTACTCCCCACTCCCACCCCCCTCGCCCGGAGACTTAAAAAACGTGCCAGTTGGAGGAGTTCCGTTTTTGTTCTTGGTTATAGCGGGGCTGTGGAGCCTTAATGACGATTCTTTACAGTCAGAATGTCTTTAGGTGCTTTATCTTAGCGAACCTCCATAAATGTCCGGAGGAGTTCTGGTAGCATAGTGCCTAAGGCACTTAACTGCTAACCAGAAGGCTGGCGGTTCACACCCACCAGCCAACTCCTCAGAAGGAAGGTGTTGTTATGTGCCGTCATAGCGACCCCCTCCTTGGGTTTCCAAGGCAGTATCACTACGGAAGTAGATTGCCCAACCTTCCTTCCCGGGAGTGGCTGGTGTGTGAACCGCCAGCCTTCTGGTTAGCAGTCAAGTGCTTTAGCCACTATGCTACCAGAGCTCCTTCCGTAGTGATACAGCCTCGGAAACCCAAGAAGGGAGGGGTCGCTATGAGTCGGGTCTGACTCGAAGGCACATAACAACAACAGTACCTAAGGCATTTGACCGCTAACCAGGAGGAGGCTGGCGGTTCAAACCCACCAGCCACCCCTCCGAAGGAAGATTGGGAAGTGTTTTCCATAGAGATACTGCCTCGGAAACCCAAGGAGGGGTCGCTATGAGTCGGATCTGACTTCGAGGGCAATGAGTTTGGTTTTGGTAAATACGCCAAAAGGGACTGTAAATCTAGACTTAACAATTAGACTCTGCGGGTATCCCTCCTTTTATTTGTGGAAGCCTCTAGCCTTCAGACCCAGAGAGGCGAGGCTCCACCTCAAGATGCCAGGTGGCTGGGTCCTGGCTCTGGCGACACCTTTGTAACCCTCCTCCGGGGGTGTTTCCCCAAATTCTGGTAGAAAAAAAAAGTAAAGAACTTTAAACAAGGAGCTGAATTTACCCACAAGAAAGTAGTATTTTTCACATTACTTGTTTTTCAGGCGACACTAAAGGTGGGGGGGATAAGGAGCTACTGGTGTCCCTATAACTTCGGTGTGTCTGCTAGACCTGCAAGGAGATAATCCATAACCCAAAGGACATGAGTAAGGCAGGGAGGGATGTTTGGATCTCAGTGCCATGCAGCCCTGTGCTGAGTCATGGGCATGGGGATGTAAACAAACACGGAAAAGGCCATGATACCAACCTTTACAAGTGAGAAGCAGTCTGTTGTGTGCTTTGGAGTAGATTCTGAATCATAGTCACCTTATAGGACAGAATAGAATTGTCCCTTAGGGCTTCCTAGGAGCTCTGGTAGCAGAGTGCCTAAGGCACTTGACTGCTAAACGGGAGGCTGGCGATTCAAACCCACCAGCCACTCCTGGGAAGGAAGGTTGGGCAATCTACTTCCGTAGTGATACTGCCTCAGTAACCCAGGGAGGGGTCGCTATGAGTCAGGTCGGACTAGAGGGCAAATAACAACAACAACCAGATCTTTTTCCTGGAGAGCTTGGTTGTTGTTGTTGTTGTTGTTATGTGCCGTCGAGTCGGCCCCGACTCATAGCGACCCCTCCTTGGG